GTGTTCGACAAGTCTGATTATATGATGAACATCCATTTGAACATGATTTTTTTCTTCGAATTTCTCAATCATTTCCATTTCTCGATCAATTATCTTTGATTAATCATCATGCACAAAATTCTAAACAGTTTTCTAAATCAATGAATAATAATCAGAATTTATCTATTGTTAAATATTCTTATCTTAAAATTCTTCGTATTCGACAAGTTCATGATGATTATATCGAAGAATTTCTTTTTCATACAAAAACATATTTTGAAAATATTCTTCTTGATGTTAATTATAAAGCATTAGAAAGAGTAACAGAGAATTTTACAAGAGATGATACACGAATTAATTCAGCCAAAATAAATGAAATATATTTATTTGGAGATGTAAAATATCCGAGATTTTTACATGATTATTTTCCTTTTGCAAAAATACATTGATTATTATCATTTGTTATTCATTATTAAATAGATTATTAATACATTCAATAAGAAAAGAAGGAATCTATTTTCGTTATTCTTTTCAGATAATTAATCTATAGAAACAAATTAATATGATTATGTATAAGAAGATCTTATATTTCAAATAAATTTATTTTATTTTATTTTATAAGAATATTTATGTAATGCAAAACGTTTTAATGTTAAATATCACATGAAATTATCCGAAGTCAGAATATCAAATTGTTCTCTTTTAATTTATTTCCACATATCTTTCTCAGTATGAATGAGAAGAAAATTGTTATTGAAGAGATTATTTTCAATGAAAAAACTTCAGAGTGACGCAAATCTATGGGATTATAATGGGTATTTCATCATAATTAATCTGAATTTCTGGTTAACTCTATATAAACTGTAGTCAGCTGCAGACAACATCAATTTCAATTCCTTTTAAGTTCAGTCAACTTGAAAAGTCGCGTGTGACTGAAGTTGAAATCGATGCAGCCTTAATTATTTATGTTTTTCTTGAAGCAGTCTATCAACAAATATGATTTATAGTCAATAGAAAATATATTAAAGAAAACAATTTTACAGATAGTATTTCAATGATAATTATTCATTTTATTGAAGAATAAACTGGAAATCTACATATTGTAGAGAACAAATAATAGTTTTTTTTTGTTTATTTTTTTTCCTATATCTTTGTTATTGTTTTCACCTTCATTGATTTTTCTTTTCAATTTAATAATTATCAAATTTTTCAGCTGTTATTTCAAGATTAAAATAAATCTAAATAGAAGATTCGAGTTAATGTTAAAACAACGATATTAAATTCTAATTGAACTTGCATTGGGGTATTTTATTTGATGAGGAAAGATGAAAATTTCTTAATATATGATTTCCATCTACTTAATTCATCTGTTGTTGATGTTTTATTAAGACAAACTTATAGAGAAAAAATCTAAATATCAAGTGGTGCATAATGATTGATAATCTCAGGTATTTAATCGATATTTTCTTCAGATTTAGTTGCTCAGATTTCGACTTTGTTTTCATAGACTCTTTGTGTGATTCTCTATAATGCGAGTCATTGCAAAGAATCACACGAAGAATTTTTTAAGATTAAGTAGAAATCTGAGCGATTAAAACTGAAGGAAATATTGATAAAAGACAGAGACCACCATTCTTTATTCGTCACCCGATATGAAATTAATCGATAGATGATGAACATCTCTATATGAATAAAGAATAATCTGATCTTCTTTGATTACATTGTCATTTCTTATCGTTATATACTTTGATCATGTTTTGTTTTTCATGCATCGTTTTACTAAAATACTTTCCTGTTAAATTCAGGATAAGGAGTTGTTTGTTTCTAATAGCTTTTTGCTTACTTTACGATTATACTTATGTATTTATCAGAGAACAATATAGACTATCTAATGATATAATAATATTAGCAGATCATGAAATTGACATTTATAACAGAGAAATAAAATGATGTGACATGAATTTGATCAATTTTTAAAGTTTATTTATTTCAGGTAAATAACAACTTAATTATTAAAGAAAACAAAGATGCTTAGTAATTGTCATTCATATTGATGTCAGAATGAGAGCCTCTATTTTCCTCTCATTCGTATTTATCTGCATTTTTTCTATGATTTAGAAACTTTTCTAACAAAAGATCATTGTTGTTAAACATATCGCAGTATTTATGATAATGTACAGTCATCTATTTCTTTTATTCACATATATTTACTTGCGATTGGTACCAAAACGAAAATTGCCATGATCATGATTATCACTATTCTGATTGAAATCATTTTATTTCATAACAGAATCATTAATAACAATTGAATGAAACACTGTTGGCAAATGATAGCTGCTGTGTCAAAGTCTATAATAGACTGGTACAAAAAATAATAACTACGTTACAGTGGATTAGAAAAACCAAAATATACCGACAGATAATTATACATGAAATGAATGGTTATTTAGATTTTCTAATGGCTTTTACTTTTCTAATTGTAGGTTGGAGCCGGATCTAGACGCTCATAGGCACAATACATGATAAATATCTTTTCTTGTGTAGAACAAATGCGAATAACTAAAAAAAAACATCAAAATTTTCCTCCTGAATTAGACATTAAAGTATTATAATATTTTTTCTTATTAATTTACATAATGGGAACAATAAAAGAAGTGAAGTATTAAATCTGTGTTTTTTTTTGTGTTAAAAATAGGTGAATCTCTTTGAACACCATGTTTACGAGTAACTGCAAGAAAAACTTCTGATCGACCTAAATTTGATCCAAGATGAGTTTCTTTAATAGTTAAGAAAATAATTTCTGGTTGAAAAAAACAAAAAAATGTCTTTCAATTAGCATATGCTTTGTAGTTGCTAAATTAGATCGAAAGTTGAAAAAACGTGAGTTCGTTACCTACGGACAAGGTAAGTACTCGTTTACTTTTATCATGTTCTAATTATAATCGAAACATAATCAAACTCGGATAAATAATTTAATCGAATTTCATCTCTTGTTGATCTAGGAAATTCACTAAGAATTTATCGATGAATATCTTTTTTAGATGATTTCATTCGTTTTACTTTTTGCAATTTTTGATGAATAAAAAACGATAAATCTTTTAGATATTTATCAACCTATGAAGGATAAAGAAAACACGTCTTTGTATTCGTCTTGCAAAAAGTAGTGACGGTGAAACTAGATTCGATGACCGTCAATTAATGCTTCAAGCGGATTGGGTAAAAGTTCTGCATTTATTTTATTTTTGATATAGCATTCTGCAGTTGCTTTTCGTTGGAAAGAACGGTGTATCTAGTGGAAAAATATTTCATTGAACATCGTTGTCAAAAAACAATAAAGTTTTTAGAATCAAAGGCATCGGAAAACTCTTCCGCAACGTTTTTTTTTTGCATTTAGAAAAACCCATACCATACTTTAACATCCATTTTTTATAGTAGTTGTTGTTGAGGTGGCAAAATCTATTGCCTTTTAGTTGTTCCACTAAATTCATCATTTGTTTTTACACAACAATAAGTTGTTGACGTTGAGAAATTTTTTGTTGTGATTGATGTATTTATATTTGATGATGTTAAGTTTTGTGTACTTCTTGTCATATAACCATTATTTAAAACAAATAATGGTTGTTGTTGTAAAGATTGCTGATTAGTTAAATGAACAAGAGATTGTTCAGAAGAAGAAGAAGATGAACTTTTAAGAGATTCAATACAAAGACTATCAACAAACTAAAGAGCTTCAGATGATTCGATTTGAGTTTGATTTAAATATGTTCGATCATTATCGTCTAAATCACCACTCTGTATATGTTCTTCTTTTTGAAAAAGAATGGTGTACGAATATTTTCTTTATTAAGATTTTCAACAGTTGTTATTGTTGGTGATGCTGATATTGAATGATGATAAATATGATGATGATATAACTGTATTTGTGTATCATTTTGTATTGTTGAATCAAATAATTTTATATTTGTTAATTCATTTAATGTTTGATGAGTATTTAAATTAATTATTTCGAATAGATCAGCAACAGTTGAATGAAATATTGAATATTCTCTACCTAAAATAAAACAAAGATTTTTAGATAAATTAACTTTAATAATAAACTAATCTAAATCAATATCATATTTATTATCATGAAGATTAATATTTGAAGATTGTGGTTCATCATAATCATGATCAATTGTCTGAAGAATAATTTATTATATAGTGGATTACTCTTTTTTCTTTTACTTACAGATATATTAGCTA